TTTTTAAAACATCGATTTTTACACAGATTGTTCAAAAAGATTAACAAAACCTAATATATAAATGCCAGGTTTTTTAGTACCATTTAGTGTTGTAGTACTTGTTTATATTTTGAATGTCATCTATTGCTAGATGAGAACATCAAACATCTGTTCGTGATGTGTTTGTTGTTGTTGAATCTTCATCTGGAGGTAAGTATACAAATAATAAGTGCTATTTAAGAGTGTTTATGAGTAAAATCGAAGGAATAATTTAATGAGGTTATAGATGGAATGCTCCATCCCACAAGGCGAAGCCAAGCGTAATATGGAACAATCTTTTGTCACCGAATTAACCTATTCTTATCATTGCACGAACGTGAATAATTCATTATTCGTTTTATACAATACCGGATTAAATCCTCGTCATATGATTGGTCAGAGCCGCCATAAGCGTGACCGTGCAATTCCATTTACCGTGGATTGGACCTTCTGTTTTTGCCGTGCGGTCGTGTTGTGGGTTGGGAGGAATAATTCAGTGACAAGTGATCAACGACCCACCAATTGTTCGGGCGTTGTATAATATGGGTTAGCTCTTGAAACACACTCGGAAGAACTAGGTCACTGAACTCACTTTCAATGCTGTACATTTATTTTGCTTTTAATGCTACACATTGTTTTAATGCTACATTGTTTGATAAGGTCAGAACAGTTTTTTTAATGATCTGTCAAGTTTGTTATATCTGATTTTTCAAGGTTATTTTGCGTACTGTATGTTCTAGCTGAATGTTCTATTGTGAATACTTACTTAATATGAAGGTTGAATGTGCTAAAAGGACTCATTTTTGTACTGTATACTTTCCGGCAGCTAACGTTTGTGGCACTTGTCCTGAAGATTGACGAGACAGGATTGGCACATTCAGAGATTGGGAAGCTGGTTGGAGGAGTTATGTATTCCACTATTATGTGTGTCATCGGCTTCTTGTTTGTAAGTAGTCAATACTATTGTGTCTTTTCCAGTGAATGTGAATATCCATACAAATAAAATGAAATAAATTTACTCTGAAAAATACAATTAAACGGGTATGAGGAGTGTCTTAGAGTTGATGGAAATGGTGCTGTTATATTTTTCAGTTATTCAAAAAATGGAAACCGCTGGTGTTTATCATCCCGTTGGCAAGTTTGATTGAGCCGGTCTACATCACATACAACCTGATAAATGTGAGTATGATTTTAATACGTAACAAACCCATCTTCCTCTGTTCCATTCTGCCAATGAAGTTTGCTCGTGCGTTTGAGATTGTATTTGTTTTGTTTATAACGGCTGAAATTAACTGAGTACTGTTCAACTGAGTATAATTAAAGTGGAGGATAACATACTTTTGAAATATTTCAACTATTCTGGGCAGGGTTAAATGATTTCTTAACACACAAAAACAACCGAGTAATTATAAATTTCCTTTCAACAGACTGGACAGACCACGCAAGGTTTCCCCGATGAGTTCGTCCCAGCGTTCATCATTGCTGTCAGCATCGCTAATATTGCAGTGCGGATCTCTGTATGCGGCTCTCTGATATATATATACAAATACATTCGGACCAAAGCTGGTATGTTAAATTCTTGGGGAAAACATATTTTACTTAATCTTTTTCTCATTTCTGTACCGACGGATTAATTATTGGGGCCTTTGTTATGTTCAATTTTTTTTTTTACTAAGTCATTTCCATCCCTAAAACCAAAATAATGAAACCTTACACTTTGTAAAGCCAATATAATTCTTTTTGGAGGAGGGGGAGGCTAACTATTTGTAATCTCGTCAGTTCTCCTTCAGATACAATGGAGGTGTGTATATGACTTTTTGGGGAAAACCGTTCTTGTCTCTTAAAACGTCAATGTAGAATAACAACTAATGGCAATCATTTTGTGAAATTTGTTATTCTACCTGTAATATTTTTCTTGAGACAAACTCTGTGTGCCAAATGCCATGCTTGTATCATCAAAGGCACAATTGCCGCACATTTCCCCTATCTACCCCACTATACCATGAACAAAATTTTGAGAGAAACAAATAATCCATTATTAGAGCGTCATGCATTGGTTCGCAAACCAAAGTATTGGTTGGGTAAACCGACCACCCTATTTCGGATCATCATTGCACATCATCGGATCTCTTCAATTAATCACGGTGTCAAGTTAAAAACCATTGCACCTTTTGGACAAAAAACAAGGAAAAGTATCTCATTTAAATGTAGACGTTTACCTTGGCCTATGACATATAACATTTATAATTATTTTGGTTTAAAAGTAAAGTTTAGAAATGCCCTCTATGTTTCATTTGAAAACGTCACAACGTTGATGCTCAATTTATCATTAAACATAAATCACATTGTGAGTGCAAGAGGGCAAATAAAAGTTCACCATAGTTAATAGGCCTAAAATGAAAAATTCCCAGAGGAATGTCGAAACGCGCTAGAATGAAGGTCCTCGTGTTCAACATCTATAAAGGTCGACGAGGGTGTGTCCTAACCGACATTTGCATAAAAGAATTTAGAAGAGAGAAGAAATTTATTTAATTATTTGGATAATAAAAACCCTATTTATTTATTTATGGGTTTTTAACAATCTTTCGTTGTAGTGATCGTTCTTCATAAAGGACTGTTTATTGTAACAAAACGTAATACTTCAGGTTCCGAAGAGGATGTTCGTAATAGTTAAGTAATCGTTATAGCGGTGTTCGTTATAGTGGAATTTCTTATTTGATTTAATTAAAAAAATAATGTATAAATCAATTATACATTTAAAACACATAGTATACAGCAGGCATTGAAAAATCTAGTGACGAGGGAAAAATACCTTTAAAACTAAATGTTCAAACCTAGTGGAGAGAAGTAGAAGATGATAAAGATAACTTCAGTTACTTTTTTCAAAAGACAGGAAAATCGAAATGAAGAATACTTTTTAACATCAAGAAAACTTAAAGATGAATTTAGAGCGAATTAGGCAGATACAATAAACGGATATGAGAAAAAGACTGAGAGATAGTAATGGTTAAATCATGAAATATACGTAAAATCATGAACATAATGTGAACAACCATAAAAGCTTAAATGGGCAACGTTCAAAAATAAAAAAGAACACTTAAATTGGTGATTTGCTGCATTTTTTGTTTGTAAGTAGTCAATACTACTGTGTCTTTTCCAGTGAATGTGAATATCCATACAAATAAAATGAAATAAATTTACTCTGAAAAATACAATTAAACGGGTATGAGGAGTGTCTTAGAGTTGATGGAAATGGTGCTGTTATATTTTTCATTAACATAATGTGAACAACCATAAAAGCTTAAATGGGCAACGTTCAAAAATAAAAAAGAACACTTAAATTGGTGATTTGCTGCATTTCTTGTTTGTAAGTAGTCAATATTATTGTGTCTTTTCCAGTGAATGTGAATATCCATTTTTTTTTTACATTTGCTGCGTTCAAATTCGTTTCTTTGCTTCACACTGATTAACGTGTGATATATCTCAATGTATTACTATCAAGTTACACCAAACAAACTGCCACCATTTAAGCTTTTGGAATTTTGGTAGTTTTATTTTCATGTATTTCCTTAAAAAAACACAGTTTTAACACATAGTTAGTCTATTTTATTCTTTTCTATATATTTCTTTTTTTCAACTGGTGGCCTTTTCAAAAAAAGTGGAATCCACTGGTCTCCCATGGGTCCAAGCAAACATAGTCGACATTAAAAAAAAACAATCAATATTAACAAATACACATTCACATAAAGTCAAACTAGTCATCAAGCATATGGAAATTGGACCTGCTCAAAACTAATATAGCCTACTGGATGCTCAGTAGACAATGTTACAAGTATCCATAATACCACTGCCAGTGAGTAAGTGCCATGACTGCAAGCAATATGTACAAAAAGGGTTTAATTCCGTTTTTCTCGATGCTTTATTGGACTACAATGTAGCACTTAGTTTGAGACTTTGCATGCAGATGAAAATAGATCCACAGGGTACCCAAATATATTATGAAAAAAATAATCTTACATTACTTATATGAAGGCAATTTCGAAGTTTTCTCCTCTTTGATATATAAATTAATTTTTGTTTGTCGGTTTTATTTTTACCAGTTATAAATCCATGCTGTGCCTTGCTATTAGTTTATAATCATTAGTCTGTTTACGTATTTTGTTTTCTTTCCTTAATTTGTTACTGTGTAACAATGCCAAAGTACGCCGGTTACATTGACGTATTTGCTGTTTTATGTACAGTATGACATGTTTGATGTTTTATCATCTTTGTTGGTCATCTGTTATCAGGCATAGTTAAAGGTAAACTTCTTACAGGCCACGTTTTGCAAATTGACCTCGTTTTTCGATATTTCAGTTCACTGTTACTAGTTGATCTTTAATTGAAAACACATACGTTTGTCATTTAGTTGGCTTCAGGTCATTTTCTCATTTTCGATTTGACTGCTTCTTTAGAGACGGCTTCCATCTTTATTTTATGTAAAAATACTCCAGTAGAAATAACCTTTGCTGCAAGACAAAACATTTACGTTTTCATGCTTCCACGATGATGTAAAGACCCAAAATGGTCTAGACGTAATATCAAACCAAAAAAAAAAGAGAGAAACGATGACTTATTGTGTAAGACATAAAGTAAATCACAGAGAGCAGCCAGTGGTTTTACTGGGCATTTACTGCCGCTATAATGTCACAAATGACGGTTTCTGTTTCCTGATGCCACTCGTCTACTGTTTCCGTGTTTGTTATCCAATCATCTCTGTAGCCATTGTCAATTGTCATCAGTGTTGTAGTCGAGACCTGGAAGTCCGAGACCGAGACCGAGACCGAGACCTGGAGGTCCGAGACCAAGACCGAGACCGAGACCGAGACCTTGAGGTCCGAGACCGAGACCGAGACCTGAAGGTCCGAGACCGAGACCGAGACCGAGACATCGAGACCGCATGTGTAAATTACATACATGTAATAAAATTAGACTCATAGTAATTGAAATGAAAGTCTTTTATTGATGTAAAACAAACTGAGTATGTCTTGTGCTGTTAGATAATTACTGTTAAATCCTTTGTGTACTTGTTTTACAATAATACTGTACTTGATAATACAATAGTTATTAACAACCATTTGTTCTGTCGGATTCTGGAATGTGCCAGAAAAGGTTTTTTTTTTGTATAGGTACAGGTCCCTTTCACAGAATATCTTCATTGCACTTCAGAAACATCAAAATGAACAGCATCTCTGCTGACAAACGTGCACGATGTGGGCGCATGATGATCCCTCCCCTGCTGGAGATTCTCTCCACAGGGGCAGATGATGCTGGCACTGAGAGAACTTTACATGCCAGCTTGTACAGGGTTGGAAGCTTTTTGGCCATGTCCTGCCAAAACTGTAGGGCACTCAGGATAGATTGAGATTCGCTGACCACCTGAAGATACTTCACAAGTTGCCGCCTAGTTGTGTCCTCTTGTGAAGGCCCCCCACTTCTGTGTCTGTGTCGGCTATATTTGGCGAGGAGGCGTGGAACTTTCGCAGGAACTTCCTCTTCCTCTTCACTTGATGTTGAAATACCATGGGTATGGGGGGTGACATCTTCAGAAAGAGAGTTAGCATCAGCCTCAGTGATGACCAAATCTAATACAAAACATTAAAATTTAAAAGATTCATTCAGGGTAATAGTTATATTAGTTTTGGTTTCCCATGGTGCAGACAGACTGACGCATTTGTAGAAGCATTTTAAAGCCACAAGACAGGCAACTACCTCTTTTGTGCAGCAACCTCGAAATTGCAAACTTAAATTTTCAACAGCCAATACAAAATCCATACAAGTTAAAATTAGTTTAACTTTAAATTACCTTGCAACATTTCTTTCAACTCCTCCCTGGTGTGTCTGAGGGAATATGCATCTGTGTCAATGACGACATCAATGTCTAACCACTGGTCATGGTCATGCATTGTTATTGGGGGTGTTCTTAATCATAATAATGAACATTTAAATGTTAATTTGTGTTACTTACTTGGCTTTATGGGCACGACTTAAATGCCTAGTGAATGCTGAACTTGTCCCCGATCTCTCCGTGATTCGATTTGTGGTTGAGCGGAAAATGCAAACTGCAGAATGTTTCTTGTTACCTGCTTTGACGTCCATGATCTCTTTATTGTCCTTAAAACCAAATCTTATCACAGCAGAATTACTGGACATCTTGCGTAAATTGTAAAAAAAAAAACAGCGAAAACTTTATTTTATCGTGCTACTCTAGCGAACTCGTACTGTAGTGAATGCTCCTGTTTGCACCATGCGCCATGCACCTGTTTACCATTCACAACGAGTAGTTCGTGTTTTGGTCGTAGCTAGGAACTCGCTCCCAATTTTTATTGAACTCATGATGCGCGCATGAAGCCGATGGCACAAGCACACACAAGATCGCTGCGTGCAAGCTCACACAACCAAAAGCGAGGTTGTCTCCACGTACTGCAAGTTTTCTAAAACTATTTGCTATCTGTTTATCGTGATAAATGATCTCGAACGAATACGGTTAATCGAATAAATTTGTGCAATGTATATATTGTACACAATGGGAAATATTTGCTGATCTCGATGTCGAGACCAGCAAAATATCGAGACCGCCGTGGTCCGAGACCGAGACCGAGACCGAGACCACAGGGTACCGAGACCGAGACCGAGACCGAGACCAGCAAAAAGTGGTCTCGAGACCGGTCTCGAGACCGAGACCGGTCTCGAGACCTACAACACTGATTGTCATACCTGTCATACATTTCTGTCACGTGTCTGTCCTGACGTCACTCTTTCCATTATTTTCCTTTTTCTCACCTACATATTCAGCATGCTCTCACGTTGTGCTCGCCCCATTTTGTGACCGTTGTCTATTCCCATTTGTCTGCATGAGACTTTCTTTGCCAAATATCCTATAGATGTGTTTCTCTACCAAATTTGGTGATTCCTCATTATTAGTGTATAACGTATTTCTTTGAATATATTTTGTGATTTCAAGTTGATAATGTAACAACCATTTGAATATAGATCAATGCTATATATCTGCAAATATTGTAACTCGTATAGTAATTACAAATGGAATAACTTGCAATCTTATAAACTCACAGGGTTATCCAAAGGATTCAAATTGTATCAGTAAACGTGTGAAGTACTTTTGTGTGTCTTTGTGTTGACAGTAAATTGGACCTACTACGAATGACGTGTATATTTACTATTCGGCAAAATTAGTCCGCCGGACATAAATGAACAATCCACCTACAGCCTTCGTCGAGTTTAAAAATTTGTATATATAACTTTGACAGTGCAGTTGCAGCAAATCCCCGTACATGATAAATGACCATTTGCCATAGTCTTCCAAAACACAATATAAGCCCCTACAATTCTACCAAAATTATCGAGCAAATAAAACTGATAGCTTTTAACCGGTTATGGTCCGAAGTTATGGTACAAATTAGGTACTAAATGGCGGCCATTTTAAAATATCCAAGATAGCTGCCATCCATTGGGAGTACCCCATCAACAATGATTTACTTGGATTCCTTGGTATCAAAAACATAGGGTTTGCCACCAAAATGGACTTCATATGACAATCAGGTCCGAAGTTATGATACAAATTAGGTACTAAATGGCGGCCATTTTGAATTATCCAAGATGGCTGCCATCCATTGGGGGTACCCCATCAACAATGATTTACGTGGGTTCCTTGGTATCAAAAACATGGGGTTTGCCACCAAAATGGACTTCATGTCACAGTCAGGTCCGAAGTTATGATACAAATTAGGTCCGAAATGGACGCTATTTTGAAATCCAAGATGGCCGCCACATGGTAGATGGAAAAAAAATGTTACCAATGGATTTCTGGCTGAGGAAGGTAAACTCTATCCAAAAATGACAAAAATTCCTTCTTTAGCAAAAAAAAATGCAAAGGTCAAAAATACGACATGATATACTATACTATAATGTGACGTAACTCGACACCCGATGAATTCTTCTAGGACCATCTTAGGAGGTGCTCGAAGTATGTACCAGGTCGATCGGATTTACGAAAGTGCCAAAGCCCACTGGTGGAAGAAATACGTGTACGAACCCTGTGGGCAATGACTGGAAAAGGAAGGAGATAAAGGAACAATACATGTGGTTGTGGACAAACACGAGCTGTTTCGACTGATTGAAATGAGTTTGTGAAATAACATCACGTTCATTACCCAAATAATAGTTACTCCTTACGTTGTGAAATTGTAAGTCACGGTCAATGTTTTTAAAAACTAATTAAGGAAACACATTTCTAAACTTACACATTTATGTTGTGATTGTTCTTCAAATATAATAGATAGTACTGTTGAACATTCATTAAAGTCCGGAATTCATCTGCACCACTGTAAATTGTTTACATTTTTGTGTAATTTCTTTGGATTTTTTTTTGTAAAGTACCTGTAAAATTGAATTTTCATTTACTTTGATGGTTTGTCTCTGTACTGCCATTTTAAATCACCCATAGGGCTGAATTATAAAGAAACATGTCAATGTTCTGCTGAATTACACACCCTTGTCATGTAATTAATTAATACCCTAATCTTGTTCGTGTGTCGTTCATTGGGTGGTCGAATTTCTGTTTTGGCTGGCTCTAATTCAAAAGTAACATATAAACCTGTGGATTACAAAGTTACAATTTTATCGCCGTTGTCAAATAATTTGTTCTGAATTTAAAAAGGTGAACCTTCATGGATAAGCGAGATTAAATTAAACACAGGTGTTATCTGTATAGAACAACAGGTGTTGATTGTTTTACCTAAAAGGGATCCACGATATATTACATTTCAACCGCAGTTTTGTTTCGTCTCTCAGTAGGGCTCCTCACGGTGAGTAAATTCAACGATGTTAACACTACAGTGGAACAAATGCGATTCCATAAGATATCGTTAGCTTGCAAATCTAACAGAAATAGATGATATGCATTATATTATATTGTGTACCCGTAAATTTAGGTGTTCTTTGAGCCGTCACACTCTTATCAAAATATTTACACTTGTGTGCTTGATTGGTGATCCATGCTTGAACATCGGACTCTAAAATAGGCATGGTTGCAAAGCCAGACTGAGCGAACGGTAATACTACGGGCGTGTTGAAGAGCAGCCATATTTAAGAGGATCAAGTTTTAGTCATCGGGAATCGCTGATAAAACATACAGTTTATTCCTACAGATATCTGAGTTTTTTGTTATTATGTAGCAACTGCTTTCACATGAATATACAATTGTTGAAATTAGTGGCTGTGGTTAGGAGTTGTGCTATTTTCATAGAAGTAGCTCATTTTCCAATCTGCACACGAAATTAGTTTTGCCTGTTTTAAATATGTCAGGACGTCCAAGTGAGTCAGTCACCCATGTTAGGTTTTTATTCGTTATCACACTGCTACACAGCAGTACACATTTTCAATAAATTTGTTGAACTATGGTCAGTGTGTTGGTTAGCTTGTGTTCTTTGCTATACCATCACCTTTCTTCGAAATGATACAATGGTTATACATAAAACTTTAACCAAATATGTCAAAAATACCAGCCTATAACATTTCGTTTCGGGTTGCTGTTACACCATACATCATTAATGCTCAGTAGATAGGAAGTTCTGAAAGAACTTATCCTGCTTTTTATCAACTTCGCTAAGTAATTTTAGTTCTGATAAGAACAGTCCTGCTTTAAGTTATAAAAGAACTTGTCTTTGGTTTCAACGTTTCGACTAGCTTTCTCTAGTCATCCTCAGGAGACTCAGTAGAGTTGAAGATGCTGCTGCTTAAGTAGGCTGTGCTAGGATAGGGAGTGCTTCAAGATTCTGATTGGTTGTCTGTTGGGCATTGTCAGTGTTGGAGTGGGATGCCCTGCTCGCTTGGGTATGTCAGTTGGCTGTGAAGCCCGCTGAGTGCCTGCTTGCTCAGGTGTACGTTGGCTGTGAGGCATGAGTGTTGCAACAAGGTATTAGTGAATGCCATATGTTGCTAATGAAATAGCCGATGTCTCGTGATACAGTGCCATGTTTGTGGATCTCAATAGCTTCCCTGATACGACGGGTGTACCAGTGTTTCTCTGGGGCTATGATTTCCGCTTGTTCCCAATCAATGGCATGATCAAAATCAGCAGAGTGTTGGACAATGGCAGATTTGCCAATTGTGCTATGTGTTCTTTATGCCTGGCAGCATGAGGTCTCTGCCGACCTCGCCAATATGCACTTTGCCACACGAGCAAGGAATTCATTAAACCACAGTTGGCTGATCGGATTGGGTCTGTCTTTGAGGCCCCAATATTTGTTTAAGACTTTCCTTTTCCATTTAAATGCCCTTTTTCACCACCGCTTACTCACCCAATATTTTGTGAACAAGTGCCCTTTTTAAAACTTCAGTTGTGGCTTTTTATTGTGTCATATGCCGTTCCGTGTGCCATTTTGTGACTATGAATTGTCCATCAGTGTGCATAATCATCGGTTTTGAACAGCGCCCCCATCAAAAGATGGTAGGGGGGGGGGGGAGCAAAGCACATTTTCCCCCCCAACATCCCTCTTTTTCCCAGTATTTTTTCGATTAATCATTTTTGCAGGGTGGGCAGGGAAATTTCCCCCAAACAATTAGCGACAAAATGATTTCGCCTCTCTTTTTTTTTTCTTTTTCTTTTTTGTGTTCTTGGGGGGGGGGGGGGGCAGCTCGTCCGGGGGCGGGGGGGGGGGCATCGCCTCCCTTGCCCCCCCCCCCCCCCCCCCCCATGGCTGTGTTACGATTTAAGGAGAGTTGTTTGGCGGCAACTTTCCTTTCGACTGCTGGATTTGGGTTCTTCTTTAGGCGGGCATAGGTATCTGTGTTGAAGATATCCTGAACCTTTTGATCATAATATGTTAAATTGGGAGGTTTTGAGTGCTTCAAGACTTGGTGTATTTGGATATGGTTATTGTCTGCC